TCTCTCTCTCTCTCTCTCTCTCTCTCTCTCTCTCTCTCTCTCTCTCTCTCTCTTGTAAAGGTTAGAATACAAATTGAAAAGGTCGCACCCATAATGTGGTATTCACAAATCGTTCACGAGCGCAAGTATCGCATTGTCGTTGTTAATAAAGCTGGTCTCAGCAATACAGATTTTATCTTCGACTTATGAATTGCGGAGCTACTTCTCATTGGAAAATGGAACAGTTCTGACAAACTTTTAACTCCGCGAGGATTGCATTCAAAATCGGTTTCTTACGTATATTTGTAAATCGAACTTTACACTTTCGTGAGAAAAGTCAGGCGCTGACATTTCATTCGAACCGAGAGCGTGTAAACAAAATCGTTTCTCGTCTTCGTCTCATTTCCACTTCATCATTTATCGTTGAATATTTGTCGGAGTAACTTTTATATTTTTGACATCGTAAGTCTTCAGTTGATTTAACACACGGTCGTAAATCACACTTCTGCGAATCACACACAAAAAGAAAAAAAAAAACATTAATTAAAAATGGTTTGTGCGAACGCGTGAATTAAAATTACTTGAATATCTTGCGCCGAGGATTCCCACGATGTGCTTGATCCCAGAAAAGGGATTGAAGGAACGAAAGGTTACATTATACATCTGCCAGAGCGATCCGATGGCGATCTGTTGGCAGCCAGAAAATCCAACTTTGAATTTCAATCTCGAGGCGGTCAAGGTCCATCGAGAGTAATTCAATTCAGAGGCGCGAATCTCGCGGGGATAAGAGCTAATGTACGCGCCGACCATTGTCGCTCGGTGCCCGAAACAGAACGGACGGAGAAACAAATCTCGCGTATATACGCGACTCGGTATATTTCGGGGTGCTTTGTACAATCGCGGGATGAATTAATTTCGTCCGTGCGCCGCCGAAATTTCTTCGCGATTCCGACTGTAATGCATAATACAAGAACCTTTCGCGAATTAAATTCCGCAGGCGCGCATTGAGTAATATAATTTTGGTTCGCGCTGAGTACCCGAGCAAAACCATTTTACGATCGTTTCGATTTGAAATTGGCTTATCGAAATATTGCGCGGGAATAAATTCGTGTTTTCACCGAGGAAGCGGAAATTCTCAAAAAATGTGACACGGAAAATCCGAAGCTGAAAGTAAGCGTGATAATTTTGGTTCATCGCGCGTGCTAATAATATTAAACAAACTTTTGATGGAAAGAAAAGTTGCGAGTACTGCGAAGTACTAAGAATACACCCGGAAAGTTTCCGATAAGTTAATTGACGTATTTCGGAAGTTCATTACTTGGTTAACGTGGTTATAGCCGAATTTCAATTCACTGAACCCGAGCGGTTCAAAAGTCGTTTGAATGGCATTGTAATTTTAGATGATTGATAATAAAGTGACGTGAATATAGTTTCTCGATTTTGTCCACTCGACTTCCGTCTGCGTGGCTAAGTAGACAATTTTAACATTTTCCAAATTAATTATTTATGTTTTGGAAGTTGAACACACAATTTTGAAAGTTTCATCAATTTTTGAAGAAGACCACAAGTTAAAATTCTGTCTAATTTATATTTTGAAAGAAGAAAAAAATGGAAAGATTACGATAGGGCAAACTGTATGGTAATTAAATAACGATTGCACGGCTGATTATAGTTTAAAACTCAGCGGCGAGAACCACAGTAGTCAAAGTGTTAGGCGCGTATCGTAATTTTTCAGCATTTATCGTAAAATACGTTCGAAGCTGCTTTCTCGTCGTGACCGGATGTTACCGCAGCGAAAATATAGGCTTTCTTGATTGATAATAAAAATCGAAGCCCATTCACACTCCTTTCTTTTTTCCCCGGCGCGACGTCGACGCCAACCGTCAGCGGAGTCGGGCTGCAAGTCACGATTTTATCGACCATACGAATCGTAAAAGCCAAGAATGTTGTATCTCCGCGTACGACTTTCTTACACGGAATGCAGTTTTACGCGACTCGGGTGTTTTCTTTCCACCGAGGAGGAAACGAAATATTCAAACTGTGCGGGAAGAAACGGCGCGATTATGCGGCGTATTAGCTAATTGACCGCAATCGAAGAGCTTATCGGCGGATTCGCGATAATAAACAAAGTAAATCTTTTAACAGTTATTTCGCGTTAGAAACTGCAATTGCCAATCATAATACGCTCTGTTTCGTTTTCACCGCTTATATAACACTGTCGATTAAACCAAATAATGATTATGCATGTTTTCTACCTTCAAAATAATTATTTTACAACGCGAGTGTGTAACAAACCTTGGTTAAAAACATGGTAAAAATTCTGCTATTTATACGTGGAAAAATATTATTTTAACAAATTAACACGCTACACCGCTCACCCTTTTTTGTTAAAATGATTGTATCGATTTATGTCGACACCGCTGCAGTTCGTATACATATTATGTGATATGTTTATATTTAATTTTTATTTCAATATCAAAGATGTATTACTTTTGTATCATTATTAAAATATAATTTGAAAATCACCAAATCACACACGAGCAATTACCAAATGGTGATTAATCAAATAATTATTTCGATCGTTCAACCATTAAAACATGTTTTTGTCACAAAAAATTTAATAGCACACATTTTTACTAAAGTATAATATTATTCTAATATATAAAAAAAGTTTGTAATTTATAATTAAGTGTTGGAATTCAAAACGCGCGGTAAAAAATTTATCTCTGTAGGTTGAAAAGAGGACAGAATGGACGTTTTCAAGAAGAATTAATTCAATTTAATTTATTTCTTGTGTTAGAAATCAATTGAATATCGCGAATTTGTCACAAAAAAACTAATAGTATTAAAAATTCCATTTATTAAAATTGCACATTGCACTATTAAAATATAATATTTTTCTAATAAAAAATTTATTTATATAAAAAATATTTTTAAACTTAAAATTAAAAGTGTTAGAATTAAAAATAGTAAAAAAATTATTATTATCTCTGTAGGATGAAAAAAG